ACTACATTTTTCAGGTTAAGGCAAGGTATTCTTGTACGGCTGACGACGACATCGCAACTCGAGATCATGGCACATGCATAGGATAGTGGCATTTATTTTCTTAGACTTAGGATAGAATATGATGTTTTAAACTTAAACGTTTATTTATTTTATTTCGAGTCTTTTGTTGTGTCGTTTTAAAGATGTTTTCGAAACACGTAAGTCCATGACTGTGTTTTAAGTTAAAGGTTATGTTTTATGGAATTTAAATGAAGTCTTCCGCATTCAATGTTTATGATATGTATACACTAGCGACCTTAATTAAGTAGAAAATTTCAGGTCGTTACAGCTGGTATTAGAGCTCTAGGTTATAGATCTTGTAGACTAGCCTACGATGTAGGTTTGACATGTTCCATGGTCCCACCGTCGATGCCCCGTCTCCGTTAGGTATGTCTTGCATAAGATAAGAAAATAAAATGTCGTTGATTGCATATGTTGTTATTGCTTGGTCATTATAAAATATAACTCATGATTGAATTTTTACACCATTGACTGCCACATAATTGACTGCTTGTTAGCTTAATTCTACATTTATTATAATGTATTATATGTTATGTTTTACCTTGCATGGAATGTGAATGTAAATTGTTGTATTGATGATGTTTAGATTTACTGAGGTTGGTACTGTGCATGAGCAACTATAGTTTTAGTAAGCTACTAAATGTTAGTGTATGCGTGAAAATGATTTTGCTAAGGGATGTCATATGCTTCAGTTAGACGTCTCAAACATAGATAAATTACTTAGGGTTATGACCATAGAGATGGAAAGGAATGTACCAATGTAAACTAACGTGTAAGTAATTTCAAATGAAATGAAAATTACCTTGGAAGCTTGATAAATGACAATACCTTATAATATGCTATAGATATTAATGGTGGTAATGTCTCACAGAAGATTTTATAACCTTGAAGTATGTAAATATTAAATTAAAGAATAGTATGAAAAAAAAAATTGAGTTAAGACCATAAAAGTATAAAACGTGTATACTTAAATTGATTGGTGAATGACTTAAGTGCCTTTAATCGAAACTAAGCTTTGGAAGTAGTGAGATGTAGAAAACTTTTCTGCCTTAATACGAGTTGAAAAAAAAAATACAATTGCAATTATGGAAGTTATGAGGTGATTTAAATATATTGAGCCACAGTTTGGATAAGGCATTACAATCATGGTAAAAGTTTGAGAGGTATATGGGGAAGGACTACCGTATGAGATTGTCAAGATACCTCCAGATTTAAGATGGACTTGGGTGGGAGATACACGAGGATTAGAGTGGGGCATTGTCTCTAAATCGACTAAAAGTTTTGTGGTAATCCTCTTCATGGTACATGAATGCACTCCAGGAATCTCAACATAAACAAATTGTTGTAGAAAATTATCGATGAATTTTTCCTAGCAATCTCCACCGGGTTAAAAGGTATTACCATACTTAAGGTTTCAAGACTGTTATTTTAAGTTTGATGTGTAAGTATCCAAGTTTTATAATCATTTTAAGTTTGATTGGTAAGTATCCCAAGTTTTATGACCATACTGGTATAATACTAATTTTTAGAAGATAATTTTGTTCAACCTCTTCTTGATGTTACAAAGGCGTTAAAAAAAAAGTAAAAAAAAAAAAAAGGTTGTGGTGTCTTTCCCCTCTGGTTATAGGAACTTTAGTTTTATGTTGTACTAGATAAGGCATACCATGAGAAAAGCCTATTTGACAATGTTTACCATGAAAGTTACCAAACTCTCAAACTCTGGCCACAAATCAAATATAGTAAGTCGTTCGTAAATCCATGTGATTTACTAGTGCATTCTATTTGCATTGGGGTAGGGTGGAGTTTTAACTGTTTCATGTCATGATTTTGACTCAAAAAATTTACTAGAATTGGGGTAGGAAGCCTAAAGAGAAGAAGTATTACAAATTTCTTGTTTTGTACGGGAAATAGGCAAATTTACATATGTAATTCATCTACAAAGATGAGACATTAATGATGAACCAAATAAAGTGGACAGTTATAAACAATACAAATACAAATAATACTACATTACAAACAATAATGAGGAAATGAAAATAATTCTCTTTTTTTAATTATTAAAAATATAGAGAAGGAATAATTTTTATGGGAAACCTTCCTCTAATGAATCCTCGGGGAACTTCTATAGTAAATGGATTATACAGAATTATGATCAGTCAAATATTGCAAGGCTCCGGTACCTATTACAGGTCAGAATTGGACCATAACAGAATTTCGGTCCCTATCGACACCACAATGTTTAATTGGGGAGGAAGATTACAATTAGAGATTGATTGAAAAGCAAAGATATGGGTTCCTTCTTCGATGGTGATGGCAACGACGACATGACGTGAGTTCACTCTAGGTAGATGTATTTAGGCCGGTGGTCACTTTCATGGTGTGGTTTGCTCGGTATAGGGGCCAGGCTGATGGTTTCGAGGTCGCTGGATTTAAATCTCTCTTTTCTCTCTCTCGATTTTCCTTTCCTTTCTTTGTGTGTTTCTCTTTTCTTTTCTCGGCGCCTTCCGTCATGGGCAGTGTCGCTAAATGCTGGGAGGTGTCTTGGCGATGCACATACGTCGTGGTCGTGTGGGATCCGAAGATTCCGATAGTTGCCGAAATTTTTGCTACCTCATCGATGACCTCGATTTTTTTTTCTTAATTTCTCAATGGTTACATAGATTATAAACAAGTTGTTCACTCGAGAATCAATCATACTTTTTTTTTCTACATTTTTTACTATTTTCTTTTATATTCTTTTTAGTTGTTCCTATTTGAGTAAATGTTTTTCTCTTCTGCATTGAAAAATTAATCCTCTTTAGAACTTTGGTATTACCATTCAAAATTAATGGTAATAATATTTTTAAATTTTTTTATAAACTGTAATAATATTTTAAAATTTTTTTTAAAACAGTTTAAATGTGTTTTTAATTTATTAAAAAAATTTAAGCACATTTTGAAAGTTGAAAGGACATCAAACTTAATGGAAATGGTTGTAGAATCGATCTTTGGATACTGGCTTTGTTGCTAGAAATGTCATTACTCGCAATTATTTATTTATTTATTTATTATCTAACGTTTTGTGAATGGAAACGAATTTAATCATTGTTTTTTTATGATATAAATTATTGGATTTAATTTATACCTATTTTAAACATAATTTTTAGTCGTTATTAAGTAACGGACATTACACATTAGACTTTAGAATTTAAATTGTTGACAATTTATGAGTATGAAATTGTGTTTTTACTTCCATACCATAATAGGGTTAAAAAAATTACTTTTACCTTATGATATATATATATATATATATTACTTTATCTCACACTTGGAATTAAAATGCCCTTGAAGGTGTATCCACCTTTATTAATATTTAAATTTAAGTTTGGATATTAACAGAAAAAAGAAAAAGAAAAAGAAAAAGAAAAAGGTAAAAAGGTAAAAAAAAGGGACTTGAGCAGTTACTCCACTTTTCACCGTTTTCTCCCTCTAATAATTCTAATTAGGATAAAAAGAAAAAAAAATAAATTTATTACCTTCTATATATAATATTTATCTGTGTAAAAATTATTATTAAAACCACAAAATTTTAGCCTAGCATTTAAGTAAATACTTTTCTTATATATATATATATATATTATTATATATTTCATTTACAATCCCTATGTGTTAATGGTTTAATTTTCAAAAAATGATTTATTTGTCAATAAATTAACAAGTTTGATAATTCTATTTTGGATGAATTCTAATATTCCTATTGTTTGTGGATAATTAATTAGAATAAAATGAAAATTGATAAGGTTAAATTATAATTGAAAAAAAATTATTTAAAAGACTAAATAGTTGTTTAAAAGGAATGATTTGTTGACTTTTTAGTTGACCAAATAAAAAGAACTAAATTATAAGAAAGTTGAAATCTTTTACTAAAATCTTCCTTAATAACGATTAAAGTAAAAACTATTTATGACGGTAGTAATAACGAAATTATGTTTTTATTCCACGTCCAAATGAGAGTAATTTTTAGAGTAAGATGATTAAGAAAGACTTAAAGAAAATGAGTGTATTTCCTTTTCAGTTGGTCAACTATAGATACTCTATAATTAAGCGTGTTTTACTTGGAGTACTTTTATGTCAGATGACCTTTTGAAAATTTTCATAAGATGCATGTCAGTGAGGACAAAATATCATAGAATAACTTGGAGATGATCTTCACTCTTAAGAAATGAGGAATAGGTATCGTAACCATGTCATACGGGATGCAAATAATGATAATTACCATTTAGCTGAAAAAGAAAAAAGAAAAAGAAAATGGGTCTTAGCTTTTAGTCGTTCATGGTTGTTTGCTAGAGTTGGTAATCCTCACAACACTCTTCCATTTATCGTGTAGAGAATTTTTTTATTAACTAAACGAGCCTAGAGATGAAGATTATATTCTCTGTCTCCATTTCCCCTCTACTCCACTGTATATATGTCTTGTATCCATCTATTGAAATAAGTATATTAAAGGTTTTTTTTTTTTTTTTTTTTTTTGAAGTATTTGAAAATTAAGCTGTAATATTAAAATAATAATAGAAATATATCATATTTATATTTGTAAATGAGTTTATTAAGAAATTTAATAGAAACTTTTTAAATGATTTATATGATTTTTCATAACACGTGGTGATTTTTGGTTGGCTCTCACTCATCCAAAGTCAAATCTCTCTAATATTGTGTTAATTACTGAAATTTTAGCCATTAATTTAACAATGATTGACCATTAAGAAACAGATGGCAGCTTTTCCTCTTCTAAATTAATCTTTTTTTTAAAAAAAAATATTTCCATGCTTTTCTTTTATTATTATTATGATTTATTAATTATAATAATAATAATAATTTCAATGGGAATTAAAAGTCCCCATCCTCATCTCATAAACTCTCTCTCTCTTCCTCATTCTTAGATCTCTCTTTCTCTCTCTAAAATGAGAGACTTTGTGTCCTGTTTCTCTGAAAACGCCGTTAACATCTCCAATCCCTCCTGCTCCACCAAATCCAATGCCGCCGCCGCCGTTGTCTCTCCGCCCTCTACCTCCCCCTCGGTGCTAACAGCCGTCACCAGCCTCTACGCCGCCCAGAATCAGCTGATGATTTCAGTGTCGTGGACCAAACTTCACTCAACCCAGAGCCTTTCCATCAATTTCACCCAACCCCAACTACCCACCATAGCCTTCAAGCTCGACACCACCGCCCGGTTCTTCAAGAAGAACAAAGGCTCAAAATCCTACGACTTCCAATCCTCCAAAATAGAAATCTTTTATGATCTCTCCGCCGCCATTTACGACGGCGGTGGACCAGAACCCGTTTCGGGATTCTACGTTGTAATCACTTTGGATTCAGAAATCGGCCTTGTTTTAGGCGAAATCCCCATTTCTTCCAGGCCTTTTAACCTCAAATCCGCCATGGCCGCCGACCCAGAAGCTCGAAAATGGTCGTTGATCTCAAGAACAGAGCATTGCGCCGGAAATACTCTGTTTTTGACGAAGGCTAAGTTCAGCGAAAATGGGGTGGCGCATGAGATCTTGATTCGGTGCATTGGAGAAGAAGAAGGGGGGAAAAAACAACATCCGGGATTGTGGGTTTGGATCGACAAGAAGGCGGCGATAAGAGTGAAGAGATTGCAGTGGAATTTCAGGGGAAATCAGAGCATTTTTGTTGATGGGTTGTTGGTGGATATGTTGTGGGATGTTCATGATTGGTTGTTTGGGTCGGCCATGAATGGATTGGGAGTGTTCATGTTTCGAACCAGGAGTGGTTTGGAAAGTAGTAGGCTGTGGTTGGAAGAGGAGAAGAAGATCATCAATTCTCATGATGAGATTCAAAAGAATTTGGATTTTTCATTATTGATCTATGCAAGTAAGACTTCATGATTGTTCACTATCAAATTTTTTTTTTGATGAGAGATGAGTTTATCTCTCTAGATTTCTCACTCTAGTTTTTTTTGTTTGACCCGTGATATCTTCGAGATGATAATTTGTACTTCATCGGTGTATAAATACTTTGATCAATGGAACGATATTGGCCAAGCTCACCGCTAGCAACAGTTTGTCCTCTTTGGGCTTTTCCTTTTAGGTTTTTAAAATGAGTCTGCTAGGTAAAGATTTCCACACCTGGTGTTTTGTTCTCCTCCCTAACCAATGTGGGTATCACAATTCACTCCACTTCAGGCTCAGCGTCCTTACTGGCACACTGCCTCGTGTCTATCTCCTTCGAGGAAGAGCCTCCTCGCTAATACATCGTGGGACATCGCAATCCACTTCCCTACAGGGCCCAGCATCCTTATTGGCACACCGCCTCATGTCTACCTCCTTCGGGGAAGTGCCTCCTCGCTGGCACATCGTGGGATATCACAATCCACTCCCCTTCAGGGCCCAGTGTTCTTACTGACACACTGCCTCGTGTCTACCCCATTCGAAAAAGGGCCTCCTTGCTAGCACATCACACGGTGTCTAGCTCTGATACCAACTATAACATCCCAAATTCACCGATAACAGATATTGTCCTCTATGGGCTTTCTCTTTCAGGCTTCCCTCAAGGTTTTAAAAACTCGTCTGATAGGGAAATGTTTTCATACCTTATAGAGGGTGTTTTGTTCTCCTCCCCAACTAATGTGGGATATCACAGATGTGCATAGTGCAATATGTAGAACGTTCAGATTCACACCTGCTGTCTCAATTATGAATTTGGTACAAATAATTTAAATTTTTGTAAAAAAAAGGTAATTATTATTGCATTTTTGTATTAGTTAAAAAGAAAATAGACAATTTTGGGTACCTAATGAATAAGAAAGTATTGTCCTTATGAGGGCAGTTGAAGATGATGGTATAAAGCTTCAAAATCATTCAAAAAGCTTTTAAAAAAACAGAATAATAAAGAAAGAAGCCTAAGCCTTTTTATTTATTTATTTCTTTTTGAATTCTTTAATGGAAAAAAAGGGATTTATTTTTTTAAAAAATGATGATTTTTCTGAAAAAGAAAAATTGAGGTTTTTGAGAGAAATGAATCAATCTTTTGCTTGCTTTTACCATTTAAACCCTAAATAGAAGTGGAGAATATAATGAAAATGGGTCTACAAAATAACACTTTTTTTTTTTTTTGAAAAGTTTGAGGCAACTCGGGACCTTTGGTTTTTTACGGGCGTTATGGGTATAAATAAGTAACGTAACGTAACTTCTATTCTTTAAAAACCGAACTTGAATCAACAAAATTGACCAGCAAACAAAATTGAAATTCAACTTAGACGATTAAATTTTGATTTATTCAAATTATTCGACTTAATTCTAATCCAAAATGTATAAACAAATGAGGTCAATTAATTATCGGTTTCTTAAATAAAGAAATAACATCATTATCATTGTCCCTAATAGAGTTGACTTATTAATTTTTGAATATGGTAGCAAATTAATAGTATTGTTAAAATTATTCTTAAAATAGTCATTAATTTGTATTATCCAAAAAAAGACACATAATCCTCTAAGTAAAAGTTTTGTAAAATGTTAACTTCTTAATATACATTATGCATTTGTTTTACCTACTACATGTTCTAAATCTCCGCCAAAAAAATATAACGTTTTTCATAATATTACAAATTTTATTTATGAATTTTGATGTTTGTACATGTGAGATCGGACATGGATTAGAGAGGGGAACAAAGTATTTTTTATAAGGGTGAGGAAACCTCTCCTTAGCATACCCATTATAAAAATTTTGAGGGGAAATCCGAAATGAAAGCCCAAAGAGGATAATATATGCTAACGGTGGGCTTAGGCTGTTACAAATGGTATCAGAGCCAGACATCAAGTGATGTGTCAGCGAGGAAGCTGAGCCCCGAAGAGAGGTGGACACGAGGCGGTGTGCTAGCAAAGACGTTGTGCCCAAAGGGGGGTGGGGGATTGGGGGTTCCCACGTCGATTAAAGGAGGGAACAAGGCCAAGCGTCATACGAGTACCAACGAGGACACTGGGCCCCCAAAGGGGGGAGGGGTGAATTGTGAGATCTCACATTGGTTGGAGAGGGAAACAAAGCATTCTTTGTAAGGGTGTGGAAACCTCTCCCTAGTAGACGCATTTTAAGAGCCTTAAGAAAAGCCGGACAATGTGCCAACGAGGAGGCTAGCCTCGAAGAGGGGTTGACACGAGGCGGGGTACCAGCAAGGATGTTGTATCCAAAAGGGGTGGACTGGAGGGTCCCACATCGATTGAAGAAGAGAATGAGTACTAGTAAGAACGCTAGGCCTCTAAGGGGAGTGGATTGTGAGATCCCACATCGGTTGGAGAATGGAACAAAATATTGTTTACCAGGGTGTGGAAACCTCTCCCTAGCAGACCCATTTCAGGGAGAAGCTCTAAAGAGGACAATAGCCGTGGATTTGGGCAGTTAAAGTACCCGTTCGATCCCCTAAAAAGTAGTTGGTTGTGAAGGAAAGATAATGCATGGAATCCTGTTAAAGTAGGGCATACCATTGTATAATTTAAGTTTTTACACATAAAAATAAACACATGAAATGTGTGAAGATGCATAGCTCCTAAAACAAAATAATGAAAAGAAGTAGACCCCATTTAAAAGTCGCAAAAACCCATGGGGGTTTGGGCAAAGGCCATTCCAACACAAACACCAACATGGGAAGGACACTGAGATGAGGTAATCCAAAAGGGAAGAGGAAGTGTGGAAGGGGAAGTGGAGGGGCCATCACATCTTTGGCTCTTTTTGTTTGTTGTCTTTCATGTTAGGTATGAATTTAAAAGGCTATGTTTAGGGTTTAGGGAAAGCATTCACTTTTTTAATTTGATTCCATCTCCCATTTTCAAATTCACAACCTTTTGTTTTTCTTGAATGCTTTGTCGACCATAAAATAATGTTATTTCTTTGAAATGGGAGGAGAACGGTTAATTAATGTGAGATTGTTAGTACCTGATAACCAAAGAAGGTATACGAATGAACTAAGATTACGTCTCAATGAGAGCAATCTTAAGAATAAGATGATTAAGTAAAAATTAAAAATAAAATATTAGTACCCATACCAACAAAGTGTTTTTTTGTTGTGGCTCAATTATAAGAATTTCAAAGTTTGTTAGGAACAATTCTATGTTGGGTGACCTTAAAAATTATACGAGTGAGGACGAAGTATGTTGAAAAGACATGTGTTAGTATGTGGAATAGTCGTCTTAGACACGAGGAGTACATAACGTGACTATGTTGCAGAAAAATATGTGGCCATCAAGTATTGTGTAACGACCCTAAATCTCTACATACTCAGAGTCGCTACTAATGTCTCATGCTCATTATCTCTAATGTGGAAATATAACTCTTAAAAGAAAACATCATCTATAATATAAATGTCGAAGACATTTAAAACATCTTTTCCTTTGAAAAACATAGTCATGGTCTTACGTGTCTAAATACGAAATAATGAAATTTGGAGAAAATAAGACAAATACAAAATAATTTAAAATAATGAAATGCGAAACAACTTATTCTAACCTAAGACTAGGAATTTAAATATGAGTTTACCATATGTACGTGTCATAGTCTCTACTCGCGATGTCACCGTCGATTGTACAAGTGCATCTTGCCTTTACCTGAAAAATGATGTGGCACATGACCTGAGTATTTCGAAGAATACTCCGTAAGTTGCCCTAGTATAAGGGGCCATACAAATGCAAACACATACGATCATGATTTAGGGGCTATCTCTAACATTACAGGGGTGACCTCCAATCTTGAACAATTGGATGTGTAGTACTTCCCTACATACGACTTACACGTGCGAATGTGAATTCCCAAGGCGCTTGCACACCCCCTCGATCCTCTGGTCAAACTAATCTGTAGCAACATCCAGAGGTCAGCGAAACCCCATACTGTTATGCGCCTCATGAACTCCCTCATCATCATACTGTGTGCATTCACACTCATCATCATACTATGCACACTCGCACTCATCATCATACTGTACGCGTTCGCACTCATCATCTCTAAGAGAAATATCCCCTATGCTTATGAACATACAATATGCATGAGGTCCCTCTAAATCCATCATAATATCTCTTTTGACACAACCCTTTGTTACTCTAGGTAACACATACTCGTGGATATCTATATTAATATCATTTTCATGCTCCTATGTCGATCTAACGACATGATGCAATATGGCACTCATAATCATATAAGATGCTTAACATGAAAAACATCATCATATTAAGGTACTTTATTTTATTTTCCTTTTCTTTTCTTTCTAAAGCATGGAGGGTTACCGGTCGAATCAAGATTCTAAACTCTAATTTAAAACATGGACATAGAGGCGTTGATGAAAATTGATTTAAATCATTATTTGGATTGTGGTTTGGAAAGGAGTTTACTTTTGTCTAATTATTTCGTTGTTGGTGGAGAAGAAAAAATTGTACATTAAGAATGTGTGATCCATGATGTGTTTAGTGGAGGAAGGGTCATGAGAAAGGGTCTAAATGAAAGTTGGGTGCCTTATAAGAGAATATACGTGGGCCCCATTCATGTTGCATTTTTTAAATAAAACATTAATTAATTATACCTCAAAATGTTATTAGAGGCCAAATCACAAGTTTATGGATATTTATCCCGCTAAATTAATAAACATATCTCTAATCTTTCTATTTTATAGAAGAAAATATCCTTAATTTTTTTAAAAAATTAAAAAATAATTTTACTATTAATTTTGTAACGGCCTAGATCCACCGCTAGCAGATATTGTTCTTTTTGGGCATTCCCTTTCGGGCTTTAAAACGCGGGAAGATTTCCACACTTTATAAATGGTGGTTTGTTCTTCTCTCCAACATGCATGAGACATCACATTTTTTTTATGCCATATATTCACCGAAAATATCTAATTACACCTCAT